TGCCACTGTTGGCTTCCAGCCCCCTACTCTCCACCTAGGGCAACCCTGCCTACCCTCTATGGCAGTGCTGCACATGGAACAGCACAGGGTTCAGCTGTCTCCTTATTTATTTCTATTTTTTCTTATTTTGTTTTCTTCTTCTTTCCCTTTTTTTTCTTTTGTCTGTGTCTTCTACCTCTTCTCTTTCCCAACACAATCTCAGCAGGTGCAGTTTTTCTTTTTTGTTGTTTTCTTTTTTGTGTGTCTTTGTGTGTGTGTGTGTGTGTGTGTGTGTGTGTGTGTGTTTCTTTGTTTTTAGTTCTGTCCCTGGCTTTGTTTTCTCCTTTCTCTCTTTTTCTCCTATTACCCCTCTTTTTCCTTTGACACACCACTACCAGCCTCCAGAGTACACCCCTCCACCTAGGGAAACTCCAGCTGCCCAGTTTGGGGAGCTCCTACCCACACTCATTGACTTTACATGCAGCTGTGGAAATCATGCCTTCCCTCTTCTGCTTCCAAAATGGCTGGGGGATCTCCCTTTCAAATGCCTGGAGGAACTCCCGCCTAACCCCCAAGTCCCTACAAGTGATTGTTGTAACTCTTGTCCACCGTTTGTGGTGTTCCATGCTGCTTCAGGAACATCCACCCAACCATCACAGCGAGCTCTCCGACTAGAGTAATTCTGCCTGCCATCCATGGTGCTCTACACCAAGAAGCGTACATCCACCCTTTGCAGCACTCCCATTTCAGCAGGAACCACCACAGGCCATCTGATGCACTCCAATCCCCATAGGTCACACAACCACAGCTTCCTGGAAGATCAGCCAGTGAAGCACCATACTCAAAGACCCACAACCACCTGGCCAGTGTCCCCTGAGAGGACTATCGAACTCACATTCCAAACAACAGAATACTGGTTGGCTAGCGTAAGAGTGAAATCACAGGAAGATAAAGTGGTAGCCTGATGCCCCAGTGCAGCTAGCTGAAGGTAATTCAAGCAGTACTCATACAAGTCTCCCAAAGAAAGAGCCCAGTGCTTTTCAACTCTCTAGAAGATGGTGCCAGGCTCCTCTAAAACAACACATAAACAGCAACCAGTCACAACAGCCTCAACAAAAAGCAGGAGAAACAAAGGACAATGCCAGAAGCAGTCATAAACTAATGACATGCATAGAAGAAGTATACATTGACCTGCCACAGAAATAAATCTTCAGAATGCTCCTTGAAGTCATAGCGTATATGAGGGAAGGAATACAGAAAAAGGATGAAATGATAGAGGAGATAAAGTCCACACACCAAAGGGAAATACAAGCTCTAAGGTATAAAATAACAAAATACAGTAGAAATTAACAAACTTTCCCAACAGACTTGAGGAGGCAGAGAATTGCACCAGTGACCTAGAGAAAAACCAGGCAATGGGAAAGGCAATCAAATAAGACAATCAGAGAAGCTGAAGAAAACCTGAGTGCCATGTCTGATGCTACAAATAGGAACAATATTAGAATAATTGGATTATGAGAACAAGACACAACATAGAAGTGAACAGCGAAAATAACAAGTGAATTCTTAGAGGAAAACATTCCAAGCTTAATAAATGAAAATCAGGCAATAATTCAGGAGATAAAAAGAACACTAGGCAGACTGAATTCCCAAGAAGTCATCAAGACACATAATAGTTAAATCATGCAACTATGAGGACAAGGAGAAAATCATAAGACCAG